CAGACACGTTTAAGCTCTGCAAGGATCCTTTGCCAGTTGTCAATAATGCTTCACTACAATGGGAGTTGACCCTCTGAAATGTATAAACCCAGCGGTGGAGAGTGGGTTTAATCACCAGAAGCTGTGTGCTCATGAACAGAATGAAAGAAAAGCTTTTTTGAGCAGGGAGGAAAGGGGATGAAAACACAGCTACTGTCTCTGACTGGATAGCAGGTGCTTCATCAGAGTCCTGTAGTTGTCCAGTATTTGAAATTGCAAACAAAGTACTTCTCCCATTGAATGAAGCTGCATTCAACAAAGAGTCTTGGAGACAAACAGATTTATTGTGGCTTAAGCTTTGTGGACTTGAGCCCATTTCATTAGGTTCATCTGATGATGTGGTCTGTAGTCCACAAAAGTTTATGCCACAATAAATCTACTGAGCTTTGAGATATTACAAGAGTTCTTTTGCATTAGCTGTTGTGACTTGCCTGAGTTCGCTCTGTAATTTCTATGTGTGTATTCTTTCTGAGGGGAGAGGAAGGGAAGGTGCCATATAGTCCAATGTCATCAGATCTTGGAAGCTAAACAGGATTGGTACCAGTGTTCCCTCTAAGCTGAGTTAGTGTGAGCTAGCTCATAGTTTTTTAGCCTCTGGCTCACACATTTTTGTCTTAGCTCAGGTAGGATGGCTCCAGAGCAAACTAATTTATGCAGTAGCCAAATCATTTGCTCACAACTTTAATGGCCAGTAGCTCACAGAGTAGAATTTTTCCTCACAGGACTCCATACTTAGAGGTATTTGGAAGGAAGACCACCAGGGACGATTCTGCAGAGGAAGACAATGGCAAACCACCTCCACTTCTCACTTGCCTTGAAAACTCTTTGCTGGAATTGCCATAAGTCAGCTGTGACTTGATGGTACTTTACACACACATTTGTGCTGGGAGAGGAGCCATGGTAGTGCTCTAACATGGTGGTCTCAAGCTATGTGACAAAAGGGGAAAATTAAAAAGGATCTGTGTATATGAAATCAACAAGTGAAGTAAGGAATGAAGAAAAATATTTTGTTGGGAAAATATAACAAAAATAGTTTTTTTGTGTTTTCCAAAATGCGCAAACTTGAGAAGTCACATTTCACATTAGTAGGAAACATTTTTCTGGAAAATGTGGGTGGCATTTCATGCTTTGTTTCTGAGAGAGTTCAACACCTGGAATTTGTTGTTGTATTTTTTATTATTTACCTTTTAGTGGTAATGATTTCCTACCAATACGGTTTTACTGAATTATAAGGAAAACTGCAAGAGATTTTTGGAATACTGGCTTGGTGACAAGCAACTTGAGTTTTCCAACTGAAGAAATCAGAAACATCATAAAAATAAGAGTTGTTCCCTTGAAACAGTTTGTGCTTCTGTTAGGTGGCCAACCTTGCACTTGGACACTAATCTGTTCGCCCTCACAAGAGCAGCAGTGTGGTATCTTGGGGAGTTTTTTTTACCAACTAGAAGTTGCTGTTGGTGTAGGAATCCCTCTTTGGTTAATCTTGTAAATTTATTGAATCTAGTTTCATGTGGATAGCCATGTTGGGCTGCAATAGAAGAGCAGATTCAAGTCCAGTAGCACCTTAAATACAAACAGGATTTACAGAGTATAAGCTTTTGAGAGACAAAGCTCCCTTTTTGTAAGCTTATACCCTGGGAATCTTGTTGATCTTTACGGTGCTACTGGACTTGACTCTTGTTGTTCAATGAATCTGGCTGTCTTAAAGTCATTCCCAACAAAGTGTGATGCTGTAGTGTGATTTCAGCCCTGTACGCACAGTATGTCTATCCCTGTGAGTATTTCTATGGGGGTGTTGCGTCTTTGCATAAAATGCAGCATGAAAGTTCTCATGGAGCAGACAGTTCCTCCTTCCACCCATATCACAGAATAAATAAATAAATAAAATCATAATAGCAGGCATTTTAACAGTGTTTGCTTGTTATTAAAGTTAAATGGTTTTGGTTTGATTTGAAAAGTGTTGTGATTTGTTTCCTTTTAGACATTTTAACAAAGCAAGTGTCAGATAATTGCATCTTGCAAAACTGTAAGTATTGATCATCTTGGGTTTATTAGGACTCATTCTTTGAATAACATTTACTGAGAAGTTTCCAAGAGCTGATGACAGCTGCCAGTGACTCTTAACCTATAGTGAGCTTGTGTGCACCATAGCACTACAAAACATCTGTTTGTGGACGGAGGTATAGGTGAAAATCATTCTGAATGCCTGATAGTGCTAGAGGTGCCTAACATTCTCTTTCTGATTAGTGATAGCAAGCTTGATTCAAAATAGGTGTGTTTATAATGCACTTATTGGAGCACTGTTCAAATCAGACCCAAATGAATTTTTAAAAAACTTCATTTTGTTTCAGGCTTTTGTTCTAAGCTTGAAATCACAGTGAGAAGTTGGGAGCCCTGGCAAACCTCTCATGAGCTCCAATTTTCCTTGCTTCCCTTTTCTCAAAACTTCTCCGGTAATGGCAGCCGTAACGGGAAGAGCTATTACAACAGCCTTAATTAGGTCTTGGAACAGTGTAAGCATTGTTACCTGGGCATCAGAATTCATGGAAACTGTAATTTTTCAGGTTTCTGGATACTTAGTAAGGCTTACTGAAGACTGTGGCAGCAACAGCTCTTCACTGGGAAGGGGAAGCTGTAGGAGGGGATGGAGATAAGACTTTGGCCAGGGCAAAGCCAATTACAAACTGAACTGAAACTTTCCAGCAGTTTGGCTCAGCTCATACTTGGCTTAACAGTTCCAAACTGGAGAAGTTCATATTCCAAATTCCCCAGTTTTACCTCTTGCCATCGGCTATAGCTAATCTCGTATTTTATCAGCTTGTCTGTACTTTCCTAGCAGTATCTCTAACAATTAGAGAATTCTCTTTCCAGTTTTGCACTGCTATATTTCTGCCTCCATTAAAAGTTTGTGCCTTGAGGCCTGCCAGCAGGGCTTACAATACCTACATTAAACCAAATTTAAAAATAAGGGTGCTCCTGCTGCTAATACTCTCAGATCACAGTCATGTAAAATGAAGGAAGTGGCAGCTGTAACTTTAATGGTGGGAAGTGTAAGCTGAGTACATGGGGAAAAGAACACAGTACTCTATGACAAAAAAGTCCCATTAGCATTTATGAACTTCAAAATGACAAGCTAGGCTGCTTTGTCTTTTTTTCCTGCTTAAAAGAAATAAAGCTCATGTTCATATAAGACTAATTATAGTATTAAGTTGCTGTCCTGTTGTCATAGCAACTCTTCAGTTTTCCATAACTAATAGTTTACTATAGCTATAGATATAATAAAGTTAATAATTACATGTAATCCTATTTCATTAATAAGCCTCAGTTTTAATATTGGCTAATACAAGCATTTAAGCTCAGTTTTTGTTAAAATATACAGTGTTAGGAATTACTTGCAAACCTTTTGTCATCAAAAGTACATGAAGAACCCAGAAAAAATTAAGTCAGAACTGAATTCTTCTGATAAGAATATAAGAGAAGCCAATGTTGGATCAGGCCAATGGCCCATCTAGTCCAACACTCTGCCACACAGTGGCCAAAAATACCAGGTGCCATCAGGAGTTCCAGCAGTGGGGCCAGGACACTAGAAGCCCTCCCACTGTTGCCCCTCCCCAAGCCCCAAGAATACAGTGTATCACTTGCCCCAGCCTGAGAGTTCCTATCTATACCTTGTGGCTAATAGCTACTGATGGACGTCTGCTCCATATGCTTATCTAATTCCCTCTTAAAGCTGTCCATGCTTGTAGCTGCCACCACCTCCTGTGGCAGTGAATTCCATGTGTTAATCACACTTTGGGTGTAGAAGTACTTGCTTTTATCTGTTCTAACCCAACTGCTCAGTAATTTCATTGAGTGCCCACGAGTTCTTGTATTGTGCTCTTTTCATACTTGTTATGGTTATGTCACTGTCTAGTGTTTCTATGCTTTATTTACTTCTTTAAGCATATATTTTGTTATAAGTTTTAATTATTAACTGCTTCTTTACAAAATATTAGTTTTTTAAATCTCTGTGCAAGAACAACTTTTGAAAGTTTTTTCAAGCATTATTTTTGAGGCCAGTGAATATAAGTAAGCTTAGTATTAAGTCTGCAAGTACTTCAGATTCACCTGATTTTTAAAAAATAAAAAATTGGAAACTTTACAACCACAGTATTTGCTCAAGAGTATTTTACCAATCTGGTACAAGGTGGTACAATAAATCTTGGAAATAAACCATACAAATAAAAAGGCTTGGAAGTTATATTGATCATGCCACTAGCTGCAAAGAAAATAATCAGTTCTTCATTATGTATTTTCCTTTGGCAGTAAAGGGATAGAGCAGTAGCAAGGATGCCAGGGGGATAACATGTAAAAATGGGGGGGGGGGACACCACAGCTTTGATTTTCACCCTATTTGCCAATTTTAGTTTCCCTTCACTGCAATTGATAGTAAAAAATAACCAAAATACTATGGTTATAAAGTGCAATTTTATAAAAACATTAACAGCATGAAGAGAAGCATGAAACACCGTGGGTCAATTGATCTCATTGAGGAGTTTACAGTTGGAGAAGATGCAAAACCTAGTTTTACCAGTTTTTTCTTCTTCTCTGGGTCAGTTTGACCCTACTTTTTAAGGAATAGTTAAAGTATACTGTGGGAATGTTTTCTCAGTGATGTTTATTTCACAGCATGTTGATTCATTCAAGGCTTGGCCAGTAATTTTAGATGACCACAATGCATAACCTGTCAAGCAGATGCAGAGTCAGCACAATGAAAAGTTGTGCTAGTGTGAATTTACTACAACAGATGTCTTATGTGGTCAGTTTCATAGCATCTAGAAATACTGCAAATTTCTTTGGGCAAGGACTTGAATGGTTTTGACCTAAGTTTACATTGATAACATACACTTGAAGTGAATATCTAAAGAACGTATCTGACAGGAATTACTCAAACTATTCTGTATTCATTTATTTAGTTCAACATGAGCATATTGCCTCCCGTACCAGTACAAAGCCCCCAAGAGCATCCAGATATGGAAGAGATTAGATGCCCTTCACCAGTCCTCGCAAGGTATGTATAACTTGTGTTTCTCTTCCTTCAGTTAACTGATAATTTTAATAATGGTTTTTAAAAACAGAAATAACGTGTTATGTCTAGTTTTGTCACATTACTTACAATAGTGGCATATCATCTCATAGGAATTATAGTTGTGCATAATGGATAAAATGCAGGACAGAGTATAAAGAAGGTTTTTTGGGGTGGGGTGATGGTAGTTTTAGCATAAAATGAAAAAAAATTAAAATAATATTCTCATCTTTTACATGAGAAGCTGCTTTGTAAATGTGCATATTTTAAATAGTATATTTTAGTCTCCAGATTTCTTACCCTTTCTTTGCACATTTCTCAGAAAGCTACATTTGAAGCCTTTCTAAACAATCAAAGCATGTCCCAATGACACTTTATATACTGTGCTCCTACATCAGATATATAGCAAACCTAGTATTATATTGCCATGCACATAAAACTGATGTGTGTAAATATGCTACCTCCTTGATTTTTCAAGTTAGTTAAGTCTGCTTTTTAGCAATTTGGTGCCTCCAAAGAATTAAAAATAAATAAAACAAAAACATTCATTAAATCTTGGAATAGTGAGAGAGGCTGGTGATGAACTGAGGTATGATGCAAGAACATTCTCACATATTATTCAGTAGCAGAACTGGGTTTGCAGTTGAAAATACATGTGCCAGGGAACTATAGCCCATCTGCCTCCCTGATGCATACATTTGTGTGCATATGCTTGCAAATAAAACCTAATTTCCATTGTTGCTCACAATTTCTATTTTGTGGGCAATCTTTTTTATTTTTAATAAAAATCATATACCTGTACTCTTGTATACATTATATTATGAAATGGAATCAAGCAGAATAACAGCAGATTGAGTCATTTGTGAATTTTTAAAGATTTTCAGGTCTGTAAGTCAATATAACTGAAATAAGGCCTTTTAATCCTATTTATGTATATTCCCATTGCTCTAATTTATGTAACCACAATTCCTCCATAAATTTAACAGATCTTGTTATCACATTTTCAATACCTTGTCTGCTTGTCCAGAAATTTTAGCCAAAGTAACCATCACTAGATTCCAGTGAATTAACATCTTCAGGCAGTTTTCCTTTATACCTGTATTCAGAGGTGCTCTAGAATTTTCTAGATATTCCCATTGCTCTAATTCAAATTTCAATTTTGGTAATTTTTACTGTATACTGGAAAACAATACATGAATCCATCCTGAATTGTCTTCCAAGTTCACATTTTATCAAAGGTATTAAGTCTTTGTCAGTTGGCATCAGTTGTCTTTCTTTGAAGAAGTTTATTATTGGAATGTGTCCTTTTTATAGTTTAGAACTCTACATTGAAGTGTCAATATGTTTGTGATTGTGCTTGTTTTAAAAAGCCAAATATAGCTTGACTAAGATATTCCTGATGCTTGCGTATGTATAGTCTCATGCATTGAAGCAATGCACAGTTGTGATTATCACACACGAGTTAAACATTTAAAGAACGAGAAAAAATGCACACCCACATCCTAAACCCTTCAGAACATGGCTTGTTGTATATGCATTGAGGGTGGAATTATCATAAATCTTCTGCTAAAGCCATGTATACCTTACACAAAAAATAAAGATCTGGAATATCTACAGACCAAAAAGTTAAAATGATACTTGTACCATCTTTATAAAATATGTTTGATAAAATACCTTGTCAATATTTTAATATTTATCTGTCTTTGCTTGGCAAAGATTAATACATAATGCATGTAGCAGATTTTGACGTTAAATCACCTCACAGTTCTTTAATTTTTTAATTTAAATTTAGGATGCATTTGATCAAAGGCAAAGATGCCATAGATCGTTATTTGGCCATGCATATCAAAGGATTGTCAAAACAAGAGGCTGCTGCGTAAGTAAGGTCTTTCTGAGGCATTTTTATGGAAGTAAGTTTATTGTTTTCTTTGTTTCTAGCCATATTCTTTGAAATCTAAAGTTCCTCAGAAAATTGCCTGAGGAACATGGCACTTAAAAATTAAAAATGATATGAAATAATTATGTTTCACTGCTACTTATCTTGCATATATCAAAGCATTTAGTTCAATGCCTGTGTTAATTCTCCCTCTTACTAAAGTATTATAACATTTACAGCATTTAATTGTTTGTCAGTAATTAAAACTATCTGTTTTTCTATCTTAGTTTTTGAAAGCCTTTAATTTAAGGTTGAAACACTACTTACAAAAATAATATAAAGATTTGCAATGGTGACTTTTTAATCCACACTAGTTCTATGTAAGTCACTGTCTGATCTAGGGAAAGTGCTGTTCCATATGACATTTCACAACAGCTTTGTTTGTTGATCATTTCTAAAAACACATTTGAGTTTCAGGTTCATTGGAATTACTATAAGTCACACTTCTTGTTCAGGGATTGCTAGTTTAGAGATCGATGCCCTAGTTGCAAGTGGTGCTTGGCATAACATATTCCATTTAAAGAATGCTGAAATGGTGTGCAGATGTGATTCTTTGCTCAAACATGTACACCTGGAGCTGGTTTAGTATCTGAATGTCCTCTCTGAACATTGTCTCTCTAGCAGTATCCCTCTTTCTTCAGTGGTTCAAAACGTGTGTTTACTCATGACCAAAGGTACCTGCTAGTAATTTCATCTTTAAGTTAAGACAGGTTTTGAAAAGGTTACTATTGAAAGTATGGAAACTAACAAAAACACTGGTGTGAGGTTAACACATCTTATGATCTCATCCATTTTTTTCCTGATGCCTTGGGTAAATCAGGTTTTGTGATCTGTTCAGGATTTCTGTGAAGTTGAATACCTACAGGTCTGAAGTCTTGCTTCTATGAAGTCCTTAGTTTTATGGAAGGCAGTTTATCTGGGCTTTTGATAGTTTGGTTCCATGCATTAGGAACTTTGTTCCTTTATCTCTCTCCTCTTCCTTTTTTCTGTTAAGGGACTCACTGTTACAATCCCAAATGATTCCCTATGCTCATGATTCCACTAGGATCATAGCAGAAGTTGCAGGCCAAAGTTCTGTTGGACTGGGGGAAAGTAGGTTGCCCTCTACCTGGAGAAAGTGCTCTGTCCATTTAATAGAGCCTTAGGCTGATTTCCCACAAGCGCTGCTCTGCGCTCACTCTACTTTTTGCCCCGATGGTACGTGTCAATTTCACACAAGCTGATGCGCGGCTGCATTTTGCCCCGCAGCTTTGCGTGATTTTCCGCACGTCTACTCAATTCTGTTTTTTGAGGATTGAGGCAGCTTGTGTGAAATTGACACGTACCATCGGGGGAAAAGGGAAGAGTTAGCGCAGAGCAGTGCTTGTGGGAAATTGGCCAATTTCACACAAGCTGCTGCGTGGCCGCATTTTGCGTGATTTTCCCCGCGTCTACTCAATCCTGGTTTTTGAGGATTGAGTAGACACGGGGAAAATCACGCAAAGCTGCGGTGCAAAATGTGGCCGCACAGCAGCTTGTGTGAAATTGACACGTACCATCGGGGGAAAAGGGAAGAGTGAGCGCAGAGCAGTGCTTGTGGGAAATTGGCCAATTTCACACAAGCTGCTGTGTGGCCGCATTTTGCCCCACAGCTTTGCGTGATTTTCCCCGTGTCTACTCAATCCTCAAAAACCAGGATTGAGTAGACGCGGGGAAAATCACGCGAAGCTGTGGGGCAAAATGCAGCCGCGCAGCAGCTTGTGTGAAATTGACACGTACCATGGGGGCAAAAGGGAAGAGCGAGCATGGAGCAGTGCTTGTGGGAAATCGGTCTCAGTGTGTGGAAATGAGCAGGTGAAGTTGTTCCTGCATGGCGGTAAATAGCATTATCTGGTAAATAATATCTCACTAAAGGAACAGGGCACTTTTTCTCCAGGTCATTAGCAACCCTACAAAAAAGTATCCCTTCAAAACATTCAGTGAAAAATCAGTAAATTGTCTAATGGTTGGCTCTGGAGCACACAATATATCATCCCAGCTGTTCACTTTTAAACTCATAGAGTAATAGTGAATTCAGACACAAGGGATCTAATGAACTGTATACATTCCTCGTCATGTTTCGTTTGCATAAAGGGAGTTTCAAAAATGAAACTAAACTATCTGTCTCAGCATATACCTTTGCCTTCTTCATTCCAACTAACAGGAAAAAACCCTAGTTCATTTCTTTTGTAATTGATCAGCAACTTTAACTTGCAGTGTGTGGAGTGGGATGCAATGGGGTGTCATTTCAGTACTTTTCTTATTGCCAAACAAACACTACATATTAAATGGTATGGATAAGAGGGAATTGCTGCAATTGTGTGAAGCAGCTTTTTAAAATGGCCCTTAAGGACTGATACAAATTATACTCAGGGTCTTCATCAACTATGAAGCTATTTTAACAATGGTCAGAATATTGAGCAAGTTAAATCTTTTAAATACCTGGGGTTAACCTTCTCACATAATGGCAGTCCATCAGTACCGGCAGCTCTAAAGCTCTTTTCTGCCAAAGTGTTGACCCACCTTACCTATGGGATGCAAATAATTCTAAATAACAAGAGTAATTACAAGACAGAGAGAGTACAGTCTAAATTTCTCAGAGCACTGTTTAATATACCAAAATGTTCCACTAATGTGGTTCTAAGACAGGAAGCTGGTGTCCCAAGAGTGGAACTGAAAATGTGGACAATTTCGATCTATTATTGGTTGAGAATCCATCTGAAGACTACAGGATTACCCCCCTGCTTCTATCTTCTACCCCATATCTAGACTGGTTTGCCAGAATAATAGATAAGCTAGGTATGATCAGGTTATGTCCAGCAAATCTTCTGGAAATGGGTCTGAGTAAAGCAAAATCTTTAGTTCAGCCGCGCTTGGTTGATATTGAGGTTCAAACTGATGAAGCACTTTTACCCAAGATGTACAGTAACCTAAAATCTTGACCTGGATTTGCAGCAGCACCGTATCTCTCTAACCTTACATATGAAAAGTATTGATGGGCTTTCTCTAGAGCGCGTTTTGATGCCTTCCCCTCTAATTTACTGCAAGGAAGGTATCTCTGTTGGCCTCCACATCAAAGATGTTGTCTATGTGCAGATAAAGAAGTTGAAACAATCACACACATTCTTTTACATTGCAAACTCTATTTCAGAGAGACACCAGCTAATTTTTCCTTTACTTGCCCAATTTAAACCCTTGGACAACTATTTGAAATTTGCAAATACTGAGCTGCTGACATATTTATTGGAAGATACCAAGAAGTCGGTAACTCTGGTAGTAGCAAAATATTGCTTTTTAGTAATAAACAAGCAAAAGATTTTAACAAAACGCACAGAGTGAAGAGAATTTTAGACAAGACTTAGAATTTAGGGAATAGAATTACGATTTTAATAGGGGTCTGTGGCTGGTACTGTGATGGTATTATTGTCTGTGAGTCTTGGTGATCGTACTTTATTATTGTATTGTTTTACTGCACTGCTGGTCAATTGGCCGTAACAATAAATTTGATTTGATTTGAAGCTATTTTAATTTGCCATGCAAAAATAAACCTTATGAATAAACTGGGGAATTGGGTAAGTCTAGGAATATACAGAATCCAAAGTCAATTCACATACAACCTAAACATAGACATTGTTTTATTTATTTATCTCCAGAGATGTCACAAGGCAAGGGAAGAACTTGGTCTTTATGTATCTTCACCGTACGTGAGGTAGAAAGAGAAATCAAGTCTCAGCCAACTTATGACAACTTCATAGGGTTTTTAAGGCAGGAAACCAAAAGAGGTGATTCACCATTGCCTGCCTATGCTTATAAATTCTGCCTGACTATGCTTATAAACCATCTGAGTACTAACTAGGGTCAGCCCTGCTTAGCTTCTGAGATCTCACAAGATTGGTCTAGCCTGGTCTATCCAGGTCGGGGCTCACCATATGTAGAATGCTTACAGTATTTGCATATTGGATGTCTACACAAGTTGGACCCATTTCCAGAAACTGGAGTGTCATATTTAATGTATTTTCATTTAAATCCTCTTACATTTCTCCTATCCATTACAAGCTCACACATCTTCTTGCTACCGTGCACTATTTTTCATCACCATCCCTTTCTTTTGATTACTTGTATGCGTTGCCAGTAGTGTTTACAGAGGTACAAAGTTTGTTTTATTTATTTATTTATTTATTTATTTCTGTTTGTATCCCGCCTAGCCACAGGACTGGCTCAAGGCGGCTAACAAGATTTAAAACACTAGAACAATAAATACATTAAAATACATTTATAGATTACGACTACATAAACAACTAGATAGTACTAGTAAATTTATAGGGAGGTGCATTTTTTCACTTCTTTAGTATCTGTGTCACATACTGACTGTATTTAAACATAGTTTTGTTCAAAGTTTTTAAAAATTAAAATACTGAAATTAAACCCAACATGAAAGAGCAACTTTAATTAATTTTCATTATTGTTCTTGAATAAAGCAATGACTATAAGAAATAACTATTTTTCATGATGTACTTCAAATCTTTCTCTCACCAGCCTGCTTTACTAATTTTCTTTACTGTTCATATGTACCTTTCTGTTTAAATTGAAATATTATTCTATAGAAAAAATACATTATGTCATTTTTTGGGAACAGAAGACATAAATTAAAGCTGTTTTCATTTAAATTCCCTTTTGTTAAGTTTCTGCCAAAAGAAAAGTAGCACAAGTTATAGATCGTATTGGAAGATATAGTCTGCATTTTCTGCTAGTGCTTTCACAGACTTAATGTTGTTTAAATATGTATTCTGTTCTGTCTGAATAATTCCTAATAATCTTCCTTGTTGTGACCAAGATCATGTTTTTATTGAGCAACATTCAAAATGAGAATGTAATTCTGAAAGTGTGTATTTGAGACTATGAATGTCTTATGCTTATCATTT